AAAACCTAACGTACAGCTTCCGAAACGGTTGATTTGGGTTCTGAACTGGATAGACCAACTTTCAATCGGTTAACGGAGTAAAGCACCAGTACACTATAATACAGCGGACATGACGTGCTCAGTCATTCCCTATTTCCCAACTATTCAACCATACACGCTGATATCCCATACTGTGACATATGTGATAGTTACTCCACTCGGCAAATTCACTTAGTCTTACAATGCACTTCGCAAACAGTTTGCGAAACACGAACCTGTATCTCGTCGGTTGCAGGTGCTTGTTTTGAACACACGATCTGCGCTCACACCAGTGTTCCAAAGACGTGCGGTCATCCAGGCAGTTGGCGACGCCAGTGTGAGCCTCACTTACATAATTTTATAAACTGGGTTTTCGGATAGGCAACTGGAACGTAGGTCGTCGTGCGTGAACTATGGAGGGAGTAACAGTGCACTTACGAAGAAATGCGTGATAATATACTATATACCTAGTCAATATATGAGGTCAAGCACGATAACATTTTGTCAGCGCCAGTGGCATGCTGGTACATGTCCTTACAGAAGGCAGAGTAGGTGCGTGAAGGCCGGACGATCGGATCGGAGTAGCGTGCGATGAATGATCGTTTGGGACAATGCGGTCAGCGTGTCAGTTCGCTCAAAATGGAGCAGCTAAGGCTATCACAAGGAAGACAGTTATCACAGGATAGGGAATGACAGCCGGGGAATCACTGAATGTGTAACATGATAATGCATCCTAAAAGCCGCCATTCATTGGCGAAACTCATCGAGCGTCGAATCCGCCGTGTATTCGGCTTGATCATAACTATGCTTGTCTGCTTAGGGGTGTTGAGGAAGATATAGTAAAGGCGACATTCTTCGTCGGAAGAAAAAGATTACAGTATTTTGTGAAAGGGTTAAGGAAAGCTTTTGAGCTTCATACGTAAATATCACAGCGGTGAATCCGCACCGCAAATTGGCACCTAGTTGCGAACCTTACTTACCCGAGCCATCATCATCGCCACCGATGAGCGCTCCTTCTCAACACCGAAGCTCGTACAGAACTACTTTCGGTCAGCTATGAACCAGAAAACGCTCACGGACTTGGCCACTGTCTCCATAAAGAAGGCACCTAGTTGATGCACCGAATTTCGATTGGGGTAATTGGTGGTTTTTGCGCCAAGTATGCTTACAAATTTTGTGCATGAGCATGGTAAAAATTAACGAATGCCAACACTCACAACTACACACTAAACATTTCGGTTGTTAGTGTTGTTCTATGAAACGCCATGTTGAACGGCTGTTCGCAGTTGTGGGGGTTTACGAAATTAACTACTGACAGGGGTGCGAAAAAAAATGAACGACTGCACCGGGCGGCATAAGCAGTGGCTATGCAACTGCTGCTAATCTATCGGCGATCTTGCCGGAAATATTTCCCTTGAGATCCTGGCAAACATAACTTGTGCGTTCCCTACATGCTCTGACGATTCGCAATGATCATCATGGCGCGCGGTAAATTGGCGTCCATTCGTCCGCAATGGTTTTACGTGCCAGGAACTCGATCAACGACCATAATCTCGACCCCTGGTGGTCAAGCCTGCTATGTCCTTATCAAAATCGTTAACCACTGGCTCACCCGACGCCAACAGAGATACGCGAGAAATCCGAACTGCACGCCATGCATGTGTATTTAGGTGTGAATCCATTTCTCAAGCTCTCGCGCGGTTGTACCACAACGCGGCAGCAAAACCGGTTATGCGACGGGATCACGTGCACTAGGTGCCCCGGCGCGCCACAGTGCTACCCGGAATGGATGGCTAGCCGAACAACCTCCACATGGTGTCAGCTGGTTGGTTGGGGTTAATCCCGTTCCAGCGAACAGTTCGGCGGCAGTGTTCTAGGACGTGGTGCGTTTTCGATTTGACAAGAGTTCTCTCTATAAAAAGCAACAAAAGTCCGTTTAACAACACTGCAACTTGGAGGAGGTGACTCGCCACTAAATAGTCACTGCCTCTTCCCCATTCGGAGGATCTCCACTTCATAAACGCAATCCAATTCGGAGAGTTCTATTGATCCCATCATACGATGGCGATCACAGCAAACAAACTCACGAATTCAGCCACACTTCACAAGTTCACTTACCCTGCCCACTGACATGGTTGGCGGCATCCGGTTTCGGATTTACCTGTCACTGTGGCAAGCCACAGGACGCCTGCGCCTACACGGGGACCATGGGTGGCTTGCGCTGCACCACCCACAGCTCCATCCACACACCCCATATCCAATTTAAACCCGAAGGATGGGAGCGGATGGGAGCCACGTTTAATCAACGGAGCCGGCCCACACTCCTTCACAGGCAAACACAAGCACGCTGTATTTGGGAATCAAGTGCACACAATGAGGTGGCTGGATCGTAGTCCGCTCCACACTGAGTGCATGGAACCGCTCATTGAGCCTAGCACGGCCACAAGGACCGTGCACCCCATCCCCTCAGGCCATGATCAACTATCTCCTGGAGCCAGTATGGACGAGGTGGTGGGTAATAGGCGGGCAGGCACCTTGTCAACATGCACATCAAGCGCAGTCACACCGGGGATATCAAGCAACAGCCAATCACTCGAAACGACAACATGAAATAAAACGAACCCAATAATGCATACAGATACGGTGGCATAACTCCTCGCTAAATTAGCATATGAAGTAAGTTGGTTAGTAACGAGTCCGCGATAAGGAAAAGATGTCCATATACACATTTACATATACACAGACGAACAAATGCAGTATGTAACTGGTTAACATGCTATAGAATTCCACAAGTACCGAACATACCTGTTTGTATTAGCATGAGTACACCTTCGCAGGCGTACCCCGCACTGCCGGGAATAAAACGTTGAATGCAGAACTGGATATTTCTAGCAGCGCATAACGTGCACCCTGACCGGACATCACAATAACGTAAGCAAAACACGCGTCCACTTACCAGTGGCTTACGCGCAATGAACTGCATATCAATTATTTTTGGTGCATAGTGCAATCCCTTGTGGGTTTGTTGATGCTTTTCTAAAACTCAGTATTTCGAAAATTCAGTTCTTAGAAGTCCTAATTTTCGGAATTCTGGAAGCCCATTTACATTTTCTAAAGTTATTCATGAACGAGTAAGGCGCGCTGCATACCAGTACAAAGTAGGCGATACGCTATAACCATCACCCGCACATGTCTCATTGGAAGTCAGTCGCATGTCATTGCCAAACGCTGAACATCAGATATCGCTGCAACCCCCGTACGAATCTATAAGCGTACCTACGTGCATACATATTTCGCCGAGACTTTGAATTTCCTCGTGTCCCTACTCGCTCCTAGTGGTATACGCCATAAAACCAGATGTCTAAAGTGATGAGCCGGAAATGTAATCAAAGCACGTCATCTTTTTCAAACAATCAGGAAAATGTACACGGAATTGTCGAGTCGCATTACGACATCTCACAACACTGATCTCAATAGTTGCTGTTCTGGCAATGCGTTCCAGAAACTACAACATCCATTCCATTTGCATCATGGGGTTCTGGGGATCCCCGGCCAGAAGTTCATCGTACTGCATTCGCGTTTCATGCTTCACTCGGGCCTTCACCACCTGCAAACATTCTCTATGGGATTAAGGAACGGGGAGTATGGGCTCAATCTCAGAAGGGTAACCCCTTCGTATCCCTCGACTGACGCAAGTGCTTTCAAACGTGTGTGACATGGTGCATTTTCACACACTACGACCACTTACCGGAGATCCACTTCCCGATTCAGCCTGTTTAAAATGCCTCGCAGCCATCCGAAAGATAGAGGGCCAAGGAATGGACCTCTCCGGGTAGTCATCGAAACGTTTCCATCCATTGTGAGTGTACCGATGAGATGCAAATTCAGACCTCTGCTGTTGGCTACTTTGACACAGGCCCTCACTCCTCTGGGCGTCTCTCCGCGAGTCCGTTTGCAGTAAGCGTTGAATTTTGTTTCGTCAATCCATATGTAGAACTTTCAAGTTCGAGAAACTGTCGAACAAACTCCTTTCGTATCGCTTTGGTACATTTCTTTTGGAGTCTGATAGGTGTTCTTCATAGTTATCAAACGGCCATCCAGGTGTCGTGCGATTGTAGACTTTGAAATGTTCTTATCCATATCGGCACGTATTCGAACTCGCATTTCGTGTAGTGTTAGAGTTGCCTCTTTCGCGATCCACTCCAGGATGTCACCAATCTCTTTTCTTCGACAGAATGCACTTACGACCGCGCGCCTACGTAGTATTCGGTTTCTGATCAAGGGAGCGACGGATCCAGGAGTAGGCAGTCTGATAGTGCAGATGGTTCATGGTTGCTACGAGCTGCCATTCGTCACCGTTGACGAAGCCATCCACAACTCGGTCACGAATGTCTGACGAGATAGTCTGTCGAACAGGAGAAGGCATGTTGATCATGCTGGAATGAAAGACATCCATTCAGTCGTGCGCTTACATTCCAGTCGTTCATTGCTCTCAGACCAAATGTGGTCTAGCGGTTCGGACGTGAGGGGGGACGCATAGTAGCTTGTTGCACCGCCCATGTTCATGGACTCGAAAAAAAATCTCCCTTGTTCAAGGGGTAGCGCGCTGCCTTCACTTGGCCTACGCACCAAACCGTAGCACCCGGCCAATGAGAACACATTTGAGGGCTGGGGATTGGCTCAGAGCGGCTGGCGAATCGTACAGCGTTTCGTAAGATTTTGCATGTTCTTTGCAAAACGTTGGACGTTCTTTGCGAAATTTTGGACTTTTTATGCAACTTAGCGGGAAATGCTGTAGTTCGATGTCGCACACAGACATTGGGGACACTAAGCAGCAATCAGTGACCAAACACAGGCAGTGACTTGATGTGGATGCAAGGAGATGGTACCGCAGGATGAGCGATGAGTAAACTGCAGGGAACCATAAAGAGCAACAGAAAGACGGTCGAAACCGCTTGGAAGACTCAGATCGAATGACATACCGTGTTGGGAACGTCGCTGCAAACCGGGCAAGGAACTGTCCAAGTCACAGAAACTATCCAACGGGGAGTCTTCATGGGATACAGTAGATTCGTGTGGCATGAGCATGGGAGGAGCGCGGAACATGTAGCACAGAGGGTAGTACATCAAATTGATACAGCAGAAGGAGTAGATGTCCGCAAAACGTAATACTTGGGAGGAGAAGAAGGTGTGCCGAGATCCTGCAACGGTCAACGTGAAGTAAAGTAGGTGAAACACGAGCAGTGCCCAGAGTTGGCAATGTAGCGACAATAAAAGCAGAAAAAGGAATGACAAACAACAAGGGGAAACAAATCTCTTTGGGAAATGTGGGTTGAATATGGGAAACACGATACAATGCCCCCGTACGGGCATTAGGTTGCATCCCATCCCTTTACACAAAGTTGCGGTCAGTTGATTGACAGATCGGCGCCAGAGACTTCTGGTTGAAGTACGGTAAAAATTTTAAAGTAGTAACTGCCGAGGTTATCACCAGACAGAGGATAAGTGGAGTGCGGGACAAGGGGGAGAAGCAGACAGCACAAAATATAAAGTGCCAGTTAGCTGCAACACATGGTGCTCACCGTTTCGGAAGATGCTCCCTAGTAAACCGTAAGAATCTTCCATCCGATGTGCGACTTCCTGTAACAAATGATAAGAATGAGAAAACGGTCATTCGACAAATTCGCACGAGAATCATACGTGATAACGAGTAAACACACCACAAAGATTGTGTGAAGGAGAGGCCAAGAAGAGGAAGCCAAAAGAACAAAGTAAAGCGTACGCCGGAATACGACACGTTCTATTAGTATATCTGGATCAGCAACATCCTAAAGAGAAATAGTCACAAAATAGCTTGAATACACACAAAGGAGGGAAGAAACGCACATTACGAAATACTGTGGCAGAGCATTCGATTGGATCCGTTGTCTAACAGAAAGATGAGACAGAAATAGGATAAGAGTGCTAAGCCGAAGACCACGAGATAAGCGCGAAATGGTAGCGTTGGCTCGATAAATCATCCTCCCACAATCGGTCAGTCACTATGTAGCATCAGAGGCTATCCAACCAACTGCTAAGATAGCTTGAATACACTATATGCATGGTAAGAATACTGAATGTGTGGCGTCAATGTGTGGTGTCAAAATTTTATGCGAATACTGCATTTAGTAATCTATTTAACTCGATCTGCGATAAAGTAATAGGAACTCAGGATCTGAAAATGTGCACTTACCAATCATAAGATAAAAAAATTTGAAAAACGGATTACTTTTTATTTGTTAGGCATAGAGAAATGGGGGAGTAAATAAATTAGAGTCTACGGAATATATATATATATATATATATATATATATATATATATATATATATATATATATATAAGAGACTATCCCAGCCCCAGTTGGAGCGTCTCGGCTCCCTGGTTAGAGGTCGAAAGACGATGAACACGTTTGGATAGATACACTTGTTGACAAGGCTAGGAGCCGGTCTCAATGGCTTTACTGCTGTGAGATTCTTTGTCGCTCCCCATCTCTTTTATCCTCCCCCTAAAATCAGCATCTCATTTCGTAGCATAATATAATTTTACATAATAATTTTTTTGTTGCCTAATAGCCGGATGGTACCTTTCCGGAACGATGTCCATCCGTTGATGGTAGCTCATCTGGCATGTAACTGTTGGATTTACTTTCTTTTTTCTTTTATGTATCGCGGCACAGTAGCTGAGGTGTATGATGATCCCAGTCAAAAGGAGAACGAGAATCTCGTGAGATTCAGAAGTAGAGAATTATGCAATACTACGTCAATCATGCTCTCGTTCTCTGTGGAATTTCCTGTTGTTTCGGAGCCCACAAGAGGATAAATAGTGCAACCAAATGCCTATCAATAAAAAGGCAGCTACTGGGTGATTGGTAACAGTGTAACAACAGCACAGTACCAGACGACAGTAAACAAGGCGATTACAATTAAACGTGTGTACGAGTGAAACTTACACGAATTTCCCGTTGTATATCCCCGACATCAGGCTTAGCAACTGAAGAGATGTTCATATCCCTATGAAAACAAAGAGGACAAAGTAAGGTGCGGGATCGAATTGCAGACGGAGCGAGGATTGTGGGGCAAGACGATATGCTGGCTTGGAAAGATCTATTGTCATACGAACAAGCCAGAGTGAGTGCCAAAGTCATAGGATACAAAAATCGAAAGACAGACATCAGCAGCCTCTGTCTCACCACCCACGCACCGTAGACCCAGGATAAACCCGACGGAAAAAACCAGGTAAGCTTGCAGAGGGGAGCCACTCCTCGTTCGGAGTGGACCCATGCTCGTTCAACACACATAACGCTGATGTGAAGTTAGGATGTATATGAGTGCCAAAAACAATGCATCATTTTACTACTCCTTAATAAGCAGTTTACATGCCACTTCGATTGGAGGCGAATGGCAAAAGTTGACGCACCTCCGGGAGCGTACCTGTCCTTCGCACTTTACTAACATGCATTAAAAAAATAAATCGCCAGCTATACGCCGTAACTACGCTTCGCTGCCACGCGACCACCACCACCGCGAGGATACGCGCACCTACGCGGATTCGAACCGGTGATCTTATGGTTGCAAATCAGACGCGCATACCACTCGGCCACTGGCCGACTACTACCATGCATACCAATGGAGGGTGAGCCGAGACAATTCACGGTGAAGTGAACCTCGGTCAAAGCGGCGTGCCTAAAGTAGATGAATATTGGCTGTCATTCACCTAAAAAACAATGCACTCCCAGACCGATATCCAACTGATTTGATCTTATCAGGTAGAGACAGAAGGTATCGAATCCTGGGTCATTAGGGTAAGCTAGAACGTCTAGCCCTTTAGCCACCGGGTCATGACGGGCACCGCTTGGCACAACGTTTAACGACTGATTGGATGGTCATTTCGAAGCAATTGTGGTGTGAATTGATTGCGAGGCGTAATCTCAATGTGGATCGCAACTTGGACTGTCTCAGCTCGCGCGTACAACTGGCGGCTAGGTCACGTTAGCCTGCAACTTTCCGAATTCGAGTGGGGCTATAATCTCTGAAGAACGTTCGTTCGTTCCGATTAAGAGTCGAGATAGCTAGGACGAGTTATTAGGGTTTTTTAACAATTAGTTCAGCTGCAGTTTTCAAATGCGTGTGGATATCAGATTTGTTTGGTAAGTATATATAACATATTGTGTACATGAGGATAGTTCTCCAACTACGCACAATTATCAAATACCTTGTCAACCTGAATTGGGCGCCATGTTTGGCAATAGCCGATGTAAGTTAATAGTTTCGTTGTTGACTCTCCCATGCCGGTTTCTCGAACTATCCGGCATTTTCTTTCGTGTTTGTCGCTTCTGTCCTTTCTTTTACCTATTGGCACTGTTTGCTACGACGTTTCTGCAATGCATGTGTGTCCATAGATCATTGCGTGTCCTAAGTTCCATATCCTTACTTCAACGGCTTTTGATCAAAAGTTTTCGTCAGTCATGTTAGCTATCCACGGTATTTTCAAAGTCATCCTCAGAAACCATCTGTAACGGTTTCTACACTTTTAAATTGTAACATTGTAGCCACCAGCAGATGTTACAAGTATGCTTACCGAATATCATGTCCTTTTATTGCCCTCATTTGCCCAACTTTTTATATGGTTTTCGTTGTCTTTATCTTGCTCCCACCAACTTTTGCCGACACAGCAACTTGGTTTGTAACATCTGGATCCACCGCTGACGTGATTTTTGTATAGATTTGTGCATGCGCTCACACTGTGCGCCCGACCCCCCTCTCTCCGTACGGAGTCGCCTGCAAGTTTGTGACCTAGGATCGTCTTTTCTGCAACACTCGCTCACATGACACCACGGATTACTGGTCCCTGTTTCACTTATGAATGATCGAACGATATCGTTTACTATTCATGGATTCCACAAATGATAATCAATCAAGATTGATATTCGTTAACACGTTCGTTGCAATTTTTTTGCGCACTTGGTGAATTTCAACGGACATTTCCAAGTTCCACGAGAGGCAACTTGGGTTCCCTGAAGCTACACAAGTGATTGATAGTCTCCGGTACTCACTCGTAGATTGCATACTTCTGATGACTGTGTGTCAGCCAAGCATAGTCCAATATGCAGCTTTATTTTACACTTCACTTTTCTGTAGTCTGAGTATGTTATTCCCATTCGCTATTGATTTCAGAGTTTGTCCCTGGTGCTAAATCGCTTGCGCATTGTATGATGGACGACTCCCGAACGTAACTGCGAAAGCAGTGTCTTCGGTCTTCTATCTCTTGGGGTGTGGCTGAACCGTTATCTTGATCACACCATGTACGGAGAATCAGTCGTTTCTATATCACTAGCTCTCCGACCATACGTCTCCAAGTATACTCTGTCCTGTCTAACTCATCACTAGTCAGACTAGTTGTTCTAGACTGAAAGCGTGAGAACGCATCCCTGGGACCTTTGCTGTCGACCTTGAAGTTAGTGTCAGTGCACATTCGAAGCATCTCCCCGCAGCTTAGTCATGTTGACAATTCGCCTCCCATAGCGTAGATTTGGTGCCGGAACTTGATACAGCCCAGTCACCGGCTGGAGGCATTAGACTTTCTGCGCACTCGCTTTTAACTCTGCCCAGCACGTTCATAACACTGACTTCAAGGGGCCCTTGCATTCTGCATTGTCATCATCATTATAGCTGCAAGTGGAAAACACCTCAGCTATTGTGCCGCAATACAAAAAAAAACAAAAAGTGAAACAGTGGCACGCTGGATGAGTCAACAGGAACGGATGAACATCGTTCCGGAGAGCTAACAGTCGGCTATTGTGTCTCAAAAAAGGAGGTATATTATCTCAAATAGATGAGTTCGTGGTTGCAGGGAAAGGCTAAGCGGGGGGGGGCAAAGAAACTCACAACACAAACGTTATTGAGGTCGGCTCCTAGTCATATCAACAAGTGTATCCAGCCAAACGTGTTCATCGTCTTTCGTTTCCCAACCAAGGAGCCGAAAGGCTTCAACAGAATTAAGGGCCTTCATTTCCCTTGATCAAATCATCGCTTGACCACCTCTTTTTCCATCCGCAACCCTGGTGTGCAAAAATGCATGTCGCTGGAGTCGGTGAGCTGGCATGCGCAACATGTGGTCCAGCCATCGGAGCCTAGTGCGTGAAATAACGGTGCTGAGCGGTTCATTTCTTTTTCCAGTGCCAAAACCCAAGACATCGAACACGCTCATTGCTCACACGGTATTCCCCTTAGATATGAGCCAAACTGCGAAGACACCGGTGGTCGAACGTAACTAGCCTCTTTGAGTCGGCTGATCTAAAGGGCCAGTTCTCACAATCATACATAGCATGTCTTGTGGTTGGTTCTCACGAGCCTCGGTCTGTCTGGTCATGTGTGTGAATAAATGTCAAGGTTATCAACCGAACCAGTGACTTGGTCATGTGTACACATTACGGCTGTGTGCTTTGCGTTTGTTATGTAAGGGCACTCAGTGGGTGTGGTCTGAGACGGAGGAATTGGCTTCACGTCAAGCTACAAGTGCATTGACCAGTCCACCGATTTTGGCCCACTTTGATCCCGAAAAGTACATGACGCTGACATGGGAAGCATCGCCGTACGGTCGGAGCCTCCCGGTTACAATCTGACACGAACGGCGTAAACAAACTAGTTGCATTTGCCTTTCGGAGTCTATCGCAGACCGAAGGGAATTGCGTCCAAGTTGACAAGGAGGCTTTGGTGTCATATTTGAGATGTGCAATTTCACCAATACCCAAACGGGCAGTGACTTAAATACACACAAACCACAAGCCATTTCTAGGAATTCCGGGTAAAACGAAAGCAATACCGCAAATGACATGGCCCCGCATGCTTTACTGGGCCCTACTAACGCTGATTATCAGTATCAATTGAAATATCTTCGCGGGTATGAGGATCATTGTGGCGATGCTCTCAGCCGACTTCCAATACAGATTCCGAGCCACATGCCAGCTTTGAGTGGGTTGGTACAACCAATGTCTTAGTTGCATGATTCGCTGGTGACATCACAGGAAATAAATTCGGAAACAAGGACTGAAGTGGTACTGTCATACGTGCGTGATTATATCCCAACTGGTTGGTCGGCAGGATAGTTGAAGGTCTAAGAGCATTCCACACTCGAAGAGATGAACTAAACTCCAAGGACGGTTGCATACTTTGGGGATATTGCGTCATCGTCCCTAAACGGCATCGTCAAACAATCCTGCAGTCACTTCATATGGGTCACCAAGGAAATTGAACTGTGCATTCACTAGCACCTAACAACGCGTACACTTGTTTGCTAATTGTCAAGAAATTGAATCATCCCCACAATTTGTATCAATGTCTCCATGGCATTGATCCTTGCGCCCGTGGGACAGAATACACATTGACTTCTGTGGACCCATCGGCGGCTTCATGGTTCTGGTTGTACTGGACGCGCATTCTAACTGAATGGAAGCTCGGGCAACCACATCCATGACTGGGTCGACCGATGTGCACATGTTAAGGAATATATTCGCTACGCATTGTGTACCAAGTACGGTTGTTTCAGATAACGGTACGACATTTACCAGCGACAAGTTCGAACAATTCCTACTACATAATGGATTCGAGCTTGTTCTCTCGGCACCATATCATTTTCCTTCTAATAAGCTAGAATAAAGAGCGATTGCGAAAATCGAACAGTGTTGGACCAAACAACACTCCGGAACTTTACAGAACCGCCTGAACAAATTCCTATTACAATCTCGCATTACGCTACACACTACCACGGATCATCCACCGTGTGAACTTCTGATGGGACGACGTCTACGCACTCGTTGGATCTGCTTAAATCCAATCTGCATCGAGCGGTCGGTAAAGGCCAGTCTGTGATGAGGCAACGCTTCGACATGCAAACGAAGGATCGTGTGGTTGAGGCAGGCGAAAATGTGTGTTACACTGAGGCCAACGGATAGAACATGGGTCCCAGGGATTACGTGATCGACAAGAGGTAGCGCAGCGGAAGCAGAATTGGA